GTTAATACATACTGAAAGGTTTAACACATACTGAAAGGGTTAACACACACTGAAAAAGTTAACACATTCTGAAAGGTTTAACACACACTGAAAGGTTTAACACACACTGAAAGGTTTAACACACACTGAAAGGGTTAACACACACTGAAAGGTTTAACACACACTGAAAGGTTTAACACACACTGAAAGGTTTAACACACACTGAAAGGGTTAACACACACTGAAAGGTTTAACACACACTGAAAGGTTTAACACACACTGAAAGGGTTAACACACACTGAAAAAGTTAACACATTCTGAAAGGTTTAACACACACTGAAAGGTTTAACACACACTGAAAGGTTTAACACACACTGAAAGGTTTAACACACACTGAAAGGTTTAACACACACTGAAAGGTTTAACACATACTGAAAGGGTTAACACACACTGAAAAAGTTAACACATTCTGAAAGGTTTAACACATACTGAAAGGGTTAACACACACTGAAAAAGTTAACACATTCTGAAAGGTTTAACACACACTGAAAGGTTTAACACACACTGAAAGGTTTAACACACACTGAAAGGTTTAACACACACTGAAAGGTTTAACACACACTGAAAGGTTTAACACATACTGAAAGGGTTAACACACACTGAAAAAGTTAACACATTCTGAAAGGTTTAACACATACTGAAAGGGTTAACACACACTGAAAAAGTTAACACATTCTGAAAGGTTTAACACACACTGAAAGGTTTAACACACACTGAAAGGTTTAACACACACTGAAAGGTTTAACACTACCACACTGAAAGGTTTAACACACACTGAAAGGTTTAACACACACTGAAAGGGTTAACACACACTGAAAGGTTTAACACACACTGAAAGGTTTAACACACACTGAAAGGTTTAACACACACTGAAAGGTTTAACACACACTGAAAGGTTTAACACACACTGAAAGGTTTAACACACACTGAAAGGTTTAACACACACTGAAAGGTTTAACACACACTGAAAGGGTTAACACACACTGAAAGGTTTAACACATACTGAAAGGTTTAACACACACTGAAAGGTTTAACACACACTGAAAGGTTTAACACACACTGAAAGGTTTAACACACACTGAAAGGTTTAACACACACTGAAAGGTTTAACACACACTGAAAGGGTTAACACACACTGAAAGGGTTAACACACACTGAAAGGGTTAACACACACTGAAAGGGTTAACACACACTGAAAGGTTTAACACACACTGAAAGGTTTAACACACACTGAAAGGTTTAACACACACTGAAAGGGTTACTACACACTGAAAGGTTTAACACACACTGAAGGTTTAACACACACTGAAAGGTTTAACACACATAGAAAGGTTTAACACACACTGAAAGGTTTAACACACACTGAAAGGTTTAACACACACTGAAAGGTTTAAAATACGGTAGTGAAGTTGTTAGTATCCTTTTGTTTACACCAGGTAATATCCTCTTGGTCCTGAGGAATAAGTTTATGGCTTTTGTATTGACAGAAATGCGGAGGTTTACGGTGTTCCTTTAGTTCTTCCCTCCTCCCTCTCTCCCCCTTTCTCTCTCTCTCTCTTTCTCTTTCGCTCTCTTTCTCTCTCTATCCTTCCTTACCTACCCACCCATCTCGTTCTTGTTTACTTATATTTTTATACTTTATTCCCCCGAGTTTTCTTCATCTACAGATACATTCATCTATCTATCTATCTATCTATCTATCTATCTATCTATCTATATCCCTCCATCTACCTACCTATCTATCTATCTATCTCTTCCATTTTCCTTCGTCATTATTTCCAGATCAATCATCATCATCCGTCCAATTTCTCTCTTTCTCTCCTATCTCTTTCCTCCCCCCTCTCTCTCTCTCCTTAATGAATGTTCTCTAACTTTCCTCCTCCACATCCATCACCCCTCAGGTCGGGTCCAATACCAAGGAATTAATATGTACGACTATAGAAGTTTTAATGAGAGAGAAAACTACAGGGTGTGTGTGTGTGTGTATATATATATATATATATATATATATATATATATATATATATATATATATATATATATATATATATATATATATACAGGTAAGGATTATATATATATGGAGTAAAACTACATATACAGGTGCAGGCATATATAGGTAGAGATACAGGTAAAACTACATATACAGGTACAGAGTATATGTACAGAATTATATACAGGTAGAGTTACAGGTAGAACTACACATACAGGTACAGGTATATATACAGGTACAGGTAAATATACAGGTAAGGTTACAGGTAAAACTACATTTACAGGAACAGGTATATATACAGGTAGGGGTACAGGTAGCACTACATATACAGGTACAGGTATATATACAGGTACAGGTAAATATACAGGTAGAGTTACAGGTAAAACTACATATACAGGTACAGGTACATATACAGGTAGGGGTACAGGTAGAACTACATATACAGGTACAGGTACATATACAGTTATACAGGTAAGAATACAGGTGGGGGTACTAGGGGACAGTATAAGTGGTTAGTGCCTCAGATCGTCAATGGTGGCAGAACTCATTTGCAATTTCCTTCCCGGTTGTCTAGTTCCTGATGAATTACCGACTTAATTGGTGCTCCGAGGCGCCTCTATAAGGGTGCACCAGGCAAGAGGAGCAGAGTTGGAACAATCACACCTTTTTAAATCAATTACAGTTACAGTACATATACAAATAACGCACCTGAATTTTTAATTACAATTACAATAACATTTCAAATGTTCAATTGCATTTCAATTACAACTTGAAAATCAAAAGTTCAATTACAATACAAGATTCTACATGCTAGCTCACCCTTTGAAAAGAAAACCGCCATGCTGTCTAGTTATAAGGGTGAGATGATGAATGTTTCACTTAAAACTATTGTGAAAAAAGCAGACATAGGCTATCAAGATTCCAGTGCAGTCCATGTATACTGAAAGTTACACATAATATTTACAAGCGGGAGTTTTCAAATAATTCACCATTGCACATTACTATTAACAATGATCGGAGAGAAGCGATACCAAGTTGGGCCTGTTGGCTGTGAAATAATTTCCAGCAATGCTGAAAACTCGCTAGGATGGAGCAGATGTTGCAGTACACCCCATCAGCTCCCTTGCCAGGTTCTTCAGTGGGTGCAAAGCTGGGGTCACTTCTTTCCAGTCGAGCATTGGATTACTTGAAAATGGGATAGTTCCTTCTTCCACATATTGTCTCAACAACAGACTCACTGAACTTCCTCCTGATGTTCGATGATTTTGTGGCCTAGTTAAAGATGGTGGTATGGAGGAGAAAATTCTGGGTCTTTTGATAAGATAATCCTTCTGCTAGATCATCTTTGTCATGTTCTTCCTCTGTTGACCCCTCCTGAACTGTCCCCGATTCTTCCATTTCCTTGATATTAATCAGTACCTGGTCCTTCTGCTCCTGTGCCGACAGCTAGTCCAGTTTGAACCTAGGATTAAGAAAAACCGCTACTCGAACATGCCCTCATTTCTATGTATGGGTCCAACATTTTTTCACAGAGTCAAGCAGGACTCTAGCCGAAGGTACACAGAACTGCAATTGGCTGTTGCTCAAAGACCCAGATCTAAGTAGATGCTCCAGTGAATGTTTAAGTCCCAGAATCACTGGTCCAGTGGCAGATATAATTACCTTCTTCTGCCCCTCCACAACTTCCATGGCCTCTTGAAAAGGTTCAAGGACACTGACAAGCTCCTTCAAGGCAGAATCTCCATTGGTATAAATTATTTTCCTTTTTCTCTCTCTGGGACAGAAGATCAGCTGCAGTATTTACCTCTACAGGATTCTTGAGTAAAGATTTCACCATTTTCAATTGTGAATTCTATCGCGTCGCATTTTCTGTCTGGAGAACAATCCCTTTAGATCGAAGGTATGAAGCAGCTACTGTTGACTTTCGAATTGAGTTGACCAATGATGCAACTTTCTGAAGTGTTGATGAAAGAAGTGAAGTTTTAACATCTGGGTGAGTAAACCCATCCTTCACACACAGTTGCTGAAGTGTGCAAAGCAACCCATTCTTTGAGGGAGGAATGACAGAACATCTTCTCAGCTAATATCTTCTTGAAGGATGTTGGGGTCACCTCCTGAATCTTCATCCTCTGTTTGTTCCTGATCCGTGTAGAAACTTGGCAGGGACAGGTCAAAAGCTTTCACTATGGAAGATGCATTATAATGCAGATAATTATCTGCAACCACTTTCTTGACTTTTCCTTGAATGCTCGGGGGACTGAGTTCACAATTACAATTAAATTACAATTACATGATTATCATTTCAATTACAATTATAATTACAATTAACTGATAACTTTCTAAATTACAATTACAATTACAATTCCTATTTTTTGTAATTAATTACATTTCAATTAAATTCATCTTATTACTCCAACCCTGAAGAGGAGGAGGGACTTAATGGAGCCCCAAACAGCGAAGGGATGGATGGAGGTTAATGGCGGCTCAGGTAGAGAGGTGAAGGGAAGTGAAAGTGCATCAGGTAAGCAGAATGGTAATGGCTTGTTAATGGTGCACAAGGTAGGGGAGGGGAAGAGGGACTTAATGGTGAAGCAGGTAGATAGGATGGTGAATCTTCTTTAATGGTGCACCAGGTAGATTACTATAAGATTTAAATGGTGCTACAGATATACTTACAGGTACAGTTAAGAGGTACAGTTAGTTGCAATTAGAGTTACAGGTACATTTACAGGTATAATCAAAGGTACAGTTACAGTTTCAACTATAATTACAGGTAAAGGTGTACATTTGCAGTTACAGGTAGAGATGCAGGTACAGGTAAATTACAGTTCCATTTAGATATACAGGTAGAGCAACAAACACATACAGACAAAAGTACAGTTACAGACAGGTTCAGTTACAGGTAGAAATACAGTACAAGTACAGGTAAATTACAGTTACAAGTAGAGATACAGGTACAGTGACCTACCTTGAACTTGGTCAGCTCGTGTCGAAGAAATATGGTGATAATTTGGTCATGCTGTCGAGCTTCCGCCCACACCTCATCCTCCGACGTGCCTCTGTGGGGGAGAAGGAGGGAGAGTGAGGGAGAGTGTGGGGGAGTGACAGGGTGGGAGAGTAGGAGCGAGGGAGAGTGGGGGAAGGGGAGAATGAGAGAATAGGGAGGTGAGGTGAGAGTGAGGTGTGGGGTGACAGGGGTGGGAGGAGTGGGAGGAGGTGTGGGGAAGGGAGGAGGAGGAGGAGGGATAATGAGGGGGTATGGGAGGGTGAGGGAGGTGAGGAGAGTGGTGAGGAGAAAATGGGGCAGGGGTGGGAGAGAGGTGGTGGTCAGGGAGAATGGGAGGTGAGGGGTGAGAGAGGGTATAACTTACCTGTCCTCGTGGGTATAACTAACCTGTCTCGTAGGTATACTAACCTATCCTCGTGGGTAGAACTTATCTGTCCTCATGGGTATAACTAACCTGTCCTTCTGGGTATAACTAACCTATCCTCGTGGGTATAACTTACCTGTCCTCGTAGGTATAACTAACCTGTCCTCGCGAGTATAACTAACCTTTCCTCGTTAGTATAACTAACCTGTCCTCGTGGGCATAACTAACATGTCCTCGTGACTATAACTAACCTATCCTCGTGGGTATAACTTACCTGTCCTCGTAGGTATAACTTACCTGTCTCGTGTGTATATAACTTGTCATCGTGGGTATAACTTACCTGTCCTCGCAGACATAATTAACCTGTCTCGTGGGTATAACTAACCTGTCCTCGTGCATAACTAACCTGTCCTCGTAGGTATAACTAACCTGTCCTCGTGGGTATAACTAACTTGTCCCCGTGGGTATAACTAACCTGTCTCGTGGGCGATAACTAACCTGTCCTCGTGGGTATAACACCTGTCCTCGTAGGTATAACTAACCTGTCCTCGTGGGCATAACTAACCTGTCCTCGTAGGTATAACTAACCTGTCCTCGTGGGTATAACTAACGTCCATGGTATAACTAACCTGTCTCGTGGGTATAACTAACTTGTCCCGTGGGTATAACTAACCTGTCCTAGTGGGCATAACTAACCTGTCCTCGTGGGTATAACTAACTTATCCTCGTGGGTACAACTTATCTGTCCTCATGGGTATAACCAACCTGTCCTCGTAGGTATAACCTTGTCATCGTGGTATAACTTACTGTCTCCTTGGACATAATTAACCTGTCCTCGTGGGTATAACTAACCTGTCATCGTGGGCATAACTAATCTGTCCTCGTAGGTATAACTAACCTGTCCTCGTGGGTATAACTAACTTGTCATCGTGGGTATAACTAACCTGTCCTAGTGGGCATAACTAACCTTTCCTCGTGAGTATAACTAACCTGTCCTCGCGGGTAGAGAGCCACATCTTCAGGTTTATTTGACCTTGTATGTTGGAGCGGTGTGAACGACCCTCCAGCGGATACCACTTGTCCACACCGATGCTGGGAATGTCCTGAGCACAAGAGAACACACGGGGGTATTAGGACATGTATTGTATATGACATTTCTTCTCTCGATGGACATGGCTATAGAAATATTACATTATCTCGATCTATCAGAGATATCTTGGCGGTGTGTGTGTGTGTGTGTGTGTGTGTGTCTGTCACGTATGGTGTGGGAGGATGGTGACCACAGCTTCCTCACTTATGAGTTGCCGGCCATCATCTACCACACACTCACTCGGCCTGGTCACACCCTCTCCCTCCCCTACAGTTAAAACAAACTACCTTTTTCCAATACACGAGCTTTTAATCCATAATATAGATAAATATTTACATTAATCACTAAAGGAATTAAGACATGAACTATCACTGAGATCTGACACTGTCCATCGTAAGATAATCGTAAATTAAATTGATCAGGAAGAGTTATATTATTAACTTCATATTGAAAAAAAGACGAATGATAAACATGTAAACTAACAGCTTAAAGATTCTCAGTTTAAAATGAGAACGAAGGAGAAATATTAAATAAGTTGTTGTGTTATTGAGGTAATTATAAACCTTAGTGTGTATCTTAAGAGCTATATGGTGCATTTACTGTGTATTGAAACTAAGTCCCAAGACAGATAAAACTAGGATGTCTGTCTGTCTGTCTGTCTGTCTCCTGTCTGTCTGTCTGTCTGTCTGTCTGTCTGTCGTTTCTTCTCTTCAGTTATTTTTTTCACTGTCTCTTTTTAACTTCCCTTTCGTTCTAACCCAACGTAGCGTAACACCAACGTAACGTAACGTAACGTAACGTAACCTAACCCTATCATAAACTAACTTAACTTTACCTAACTCAAACAGATAGTTGTCAATACATAATTAATCGGATTCAGTTTCGTATCCACATTTTCAATAGCTTACTTTATTAAATCCTCTAAATTCCTCTTGACGTGAGGCACTTCTCAGGTAATCGTATTGAGTGGTTGTCAGTGGATGATAAATGGTACAGTTTTGTCACAGTTTTATATTTTGGTGCATAGTTTGGTAGAGATCGTGTTGTTAGGAAATAAATTGTGGTTTCTCTTTTGTGTGTTTTGCGTGACAGGTCCAGGCCGGATCATGTACTACAGGTTAAATCCCCGTCAGCCAATTTCAGCGTGGCATGTTTCCCTTGTAACATTATACCGAGCGACCTTTCACCTCTGCCCCCTGATGCCCGGCCTATCTGTCTGTTCGGGGATCGGTGATAGAAGCGGTACCGTTCTTGCCTCGCAAGCGAGATGTCACGGGTTCGATTCCCGGGCCGGTGGAAGTTGTTTGGACTTACTTCCTAGCCCCCATTAGTCCCTGTTCACCTAGCAGTAAAGTAGGTACCTGTTGTAAGTCGAGTTGCGAATTCGTATTCAGGGAAAGTTGATGGGCTTCCAATAACTTGATGGCATAAACCACTGACTCTTCGGGCTTCTACGCCCTTGACTCATGAGACATAAAGGCAAAGCTAGACTTAGCATGCTTCCCTGATGGGCGCTGTAAACGCTTCTGCGCTTCACCTTACACAAGGATGTAGGGGGGTGCCCAATAAATAAATAAAAAAATAAAAAAATCTGTCTGTTCCTCTACATACAGGTTTTATAATTTACGTATTTATCTGTCTATCTGTCTGTCTGTCTGTCTGTGTCTGTCTGTCTCTGTGTGTGTTCCTATACTCATGTGTCATCTAATTTATCAATATCTCTAAGTGTTTATATTATAACTAGCTTAAAACACAACAGAAAAACTCCTTAAATTTAACAAGAAATAAACATAGGCAATAAAAACAGGAACAAAAGTTAACATTCATCACAGGTGTTGCCAGGTGTTGTTTTTATATACAAGTGAAAGAATAAAAGAAAATGAACCCAAATTAGTAGGAGTGGGGTGAGAGGTTCCCCCTTTGTCAATCAGTAAGAGACGCCCAGACAAAAATACACACACTCTTTCTCGTTAGTGTTGGCCGCCATATTACTAACACTTCAACACACTTTGTGATGTATTGAGAAAAAGTGAAAAAAAGTGATGAAATTGATGCACGTCAAAAACAAATGAAGAATAATCAGTAATTAAATCGAAGTACTGATGCGTATTGTACAATGATATGTGACTGAATGATAAAAAAAATAGAATAGTCAAGGCATAAAAGGTCAATAAATACAATAAGTATAGATAAAATAAAAGAAACAATAAATGAATGAACTGATGAACGTACGAAACAAAGGAACAAACGGACGTAAGAACGGAAGCTTCCCAAGTGAATAGCCAATTAAATCTGTTTCTCCCAGGACGGACGAGTCAACTTCCGCCTCGGACATATTTCCTGACTCTATTTCCTATTTCAAACTAAGCAGATTACACCCACACCCATTCCCCTTCCAGCTCCCCCTCCATTGAGACCTCCACCTCCCCCCTCCCTTGAGACCCTCCACCTTCCCCCTCCTTGAGACACCTCCCACCTCCCTCCTTGAGGCCCTCACCTCCCCCCCCCTCTGAGACCCTCCACCTCCCCCCCTCTGAGACCCTCCACCTCCCCCTCCCTTGAGACCCTCCACCACCCCCTCCTTTGAGACCCTCCAACTCCTCCCTCCCTTAGACCCTCCACCTCCCCTCCCCTCCCCAGACCCTCCACCTCCCCCTCCCTTGAGACCCTCCAACTCCCCCTCACCGAGACCCTCACCTCCCTCCTCCCTTGAGAGACCCTCCACCTATCCCCCTCCCTTGAGGACCCTCCACCTCTCCCCTCCCTTGAGACCCTCCCCCCCCCTCCCTTGAGTCCCCCCTCTCGCCTCCTTGAACCATCACCTGTCCCCTCCCTTGAACCTTCCACCACCTCCATTGAGACCCTCCACCTCGCCCTCCCCTTGAGACCCTCCACCTCCCCCCTCCCTTGAGACCCTCCACCTCCCCTCCCCTTGGACCCTCCCTCCCCCTCCCTTGAGACCCTCCACCTCCCCCTCCTTGAGACCTCCACCTCCCCCTCCCCTTGAGACCCTCCACCTCTCCCCTCCTGAGACCCTCCACCTCTCGCCTTCCTGAGAACCTCCACCTCTCCCCTCCCCTTGAGACCATCCACCTCTCCCCTCCTTGAGACCTCCACCTCCCCTCCTTGAAGACCCTCCACCTCCCCCCCTCCTTGGGACCCTCCACCTCCCCCCTCCCTGAGACCATCCACCTCTCCCTCCTTGCCTCCACCTCCTTGAGACCATCCACCTCCCCCCTCCTTGAGACCCTCCACCTCCTCTCCCCTCCTTGAGACCCTCCCACCTCCCCCCTCCCTTGAGACCTCCACCTCTCCCCTCCCTTAGAGACCCTCCACCCTCTCGCCCTCCTTGAGAACCTCCACCTCCCCTCTGAGACTCTCCTCCCCCTCACTTGAGACCCTCCACCTCCCCCCTCCCGTTTGAGACCCTCCACCTCTCCCCTCCCCTTAGACCCTCCACCTTCCCCTCCCTTGAGACATCCCTTCCCCTCCCTGAGACTCTCCCACCTCCCCCTCCTTGAGAGACCCTCCCTCCCCTCCCACCCTTGAGACCATCCCTTCCCCTCCCTTGAGACCTCCACCTCTCGCCCTCCCCTTGGGACTCTCCACCTCTCCCCTCCCTTGAGACCCTCCACCTCCCTCCCACCCTTGAGACCATCCACCTCTCCCTCCTTGAGAGCCCTCCACCCCTTTCTCCTCCCTTGAGACCATCCACCCTTCCCCTCCCTTGAGACCCTCCACCTCTCGCCCTCCCTTGAGACCTCCCACCTCTCCCCCCCTTGGGGCCTACCTCCTCCACCCAGGACCATCCACCTCTCCCCCTCCTTGAGACCCTCCACCTTTCTCCTCCCCTTGAGACCATCCACCTTCCCTCCCTTGAGACCCTCCACCTCTCCCCTCCCTTGAGACCCTCCACCTCTCCTTCCTTGAGACCCTCCACCTCTCCCCTCCTTGAGACCCTCCACCTCTCCCTTCTTGAGACCCTCCACCTCTCCCTCCCTTGAGACCCTTCACCTCTCCCTTCCCTTGAGACCCTCCACCTCTCCCCTTCCTTGGCCCTCCACACTCCCTCCCTCCGCCAGACCTCACCTCTCCTCCTTGGGGCCCTCCACTCCCTCCCTCCCCTTGAGCCTCCCTCTCCCTCCCTTGAGACCCTCCCTCCTCCCCCCGTGAGACCCTCCACCTCCCTCCCTCATGAGACCCTCCCACCTCCCCTCCACCGAGGGCCCTCCCCCCTCCCCTCCCCTTGGACCCTCCACCTCCCTCCCCATGAGCCTCCTCCCCCCTCCCAGGGCCCTCCTCTCCCTCCTTGAGAATCCTCCATCCTCCCTCCTTGGACCCTCCACCTCCCCCTTCCTTGAGAGACCCTCACCTCTCCCACCCCTCCCGTCACCCCTCCCACTTCTCCCCCCACCCTCTCCCCCCCACCCTCTCCCCCACCCCTCTCCCCTACCCCTCTCCCTACCCCTTCTCCCCCACCCCTCTTCCCCCCTCTCCCCACCCTTCTCCCCCACCCCTCTCCTCACCCCTCCTCCCCCCTCTCCCCCACCCCTCTCCCCCACCTCTCTCCCTCCCACCTTCTTCCCCCACCCCTCCCCCCCTTCTCCCCCCTCTCCCTCCCACCTTCTCCCCACCCTTCTCCCCCACCCTTCTCCCCCACTCCTCTCCCCACCCTCTCCCCACCCTTCTCCCCCCACCCTTCTCCCCCCACCCTCTCCCCACCCCTCTCCACCCACCTCTCCCCCCACCCCCTTTCCCCACCCCTTCCCTCCACCCTCTCCTCCCCTCTCTCTCCACCCCTCTCTCTCCCCCACCCTCTCCCCCACCCCTCTCCCTCCTCTCCCCACCCCTCTCCCCACCCTTCTCCCCCACCCTTCTCCCCCCACCCCTCCTCACCCTCTCTCCCCACCTCTCCCCACCCTTCTCCACCCACCCTCCTCCCCCCACCCTCCCTACCCACCTTCTCTACCCTTCTCCCCACCCCTCTCCCCATCCTTCTCCCCACCCTTCTCC